CCTTCGTTGATTCCTTGGACTGGTTGCTCCAGGGTGTGTTTGTCGTTTTCCCTTGGAGGTTCTGTTGGATTCCCATGAGTTTTTCCCTCTTGAGTTTCCAAATGAGCTTGGTTGATTCCATGATCTCTCCCATTGATTCTCATGAGGTCTGGATTGGTCCCATGACTTCTCCCAGTGACGTCCGGGTGAGTGTTGTCGTCCAAGCGGTCCATCCCAGCGGTTGTTACTCTGTTTAGGTCGGGTACCAGCGTGGGAGTCCCATTCTCTGTTCGACGAGGGTGCATTCCACTCTTTGGGTGGCGGCTTGGCATGGTCTTGATGTTGGGCGCCCTTTTCTGAGGCCATCTTTTGTTTGCTGTAGGCTTTATGTGCCAAGTCTCGCAACTGTTGAGCACTCATTGTTCGCGGACATTCGAGGACGCCAAGATGGTGGCTTACCCCAGGATGAAGGTTTCTCAGGAAGAGAGTTTTGAAGTTCAGATCATCTTCCATGTGATTTTTCCCAGTGACGTCCAGGTGAGTGTTGTTGTCCACGCGGTCCATCCCAGCGGTTGTTCCTCTGTTTAGGTCGGGTACCAGTGTGGGAGACCCGTTCTCTGTTGGACGAGGGTGCATTCCACTCTTTGGGTGGCGGCTTGGCATGGTCTTGATGTTGGGTGCCCTCTAGAGCCAGCCCCTGACTTTGAGTGTTCAAGTCAAGAACTGCTGTGGATTTGGCCCCCTTTTCCGAGGCCATCTTTTGTTTGCCGTAAGCTTTGTGTGCCAAGTCTCGCAACTGTTGAGCACTCATTGTTCGCGGACATGCAAGGACGCCAAGATGGTGGCTTACCCCAGTATGAAGGTTTCTCCGGAAGAGAGTTTTGAAGTTCAGGTCATCTTCCATGTCAGGTTCGTTGCGAGTTCTGAGTCGGCTGTAGTAGGCTTGAGGAGATTCATGACGACCTTGTTTCGTCTCCAGGGCAGCCACTAGTCCTTGTTCTGACTCAGGGTCAGCGAATTCTTTGATGATGGCTTCTCGGAGCAGGTGGTAATCAGTCTTTGTGTGAGCAGGCTGCCAGTCCAGGAAACTGCGCACTTCAGGGCTGGCTGTTGTTCTGAGCAAATAGAGTCTATCTTTGTCAGTGACAATGGGTCTCATTTCCAGATGGAAATCGACGTCTTGCAGATAAGCTTGGACATCCTGGCTACCTGGCACACTTGGGGTGAATTTGCCAATGTTTCTGGCGAGCTTGTCGAGGTCTTTGAGGTCCAAGCCATGCGATGATTTGTGGTTGACTGGAGCAGGTTCTTTTAGCTTTGTCGTGTGGTAAAGTTCTTCAGAGGGAGCTGGTGAATGTTTCAGCACTGCCCCCTCCCCCTTTTGCTCACACGTCAGTCCAGGAACAGGTGACCCGGTCCTGCTTGGCAGGGGTGAGACTGGTGCCCGTCGGGTCCTTGCAGGCTCAGGGCGCAGCTCGTAGGCATGTCTGAGTTCCTCTCTGATGCTGTCGGACTTCTCTTTGATGTAGTCAAGCTGTTGTGTTAGGCGACTGATCTCATTTCTTGACTCATCCAGGTGAGTTTCAAGGGCTTTAATTC